TGAGTAGCTAGGATTTTGAGCCATTGTTGCGTGGGTTCCCTTTTCTACTTTCAGGAAATGCCTTTTGACTTTAGCTACCCCTTTCTTCACCATTTTCTTTTACATCTTTTTCATAATCTCTTTTCCTTTTCCCAAATCTCACAATGTACATAAGCAAAAGCAGAAGGGAAAAGGAACACTCAGGATTCTCCAGCACCATCTTCTGCATCTTTTGGTCTCACCAGAGGTATCAACAAGGATAGGTGTCAGAGTCAGGGGAATCTAAACTAAACAAGCTCCCACCTGGTTGAGAGTGTCAGATAAACATTTAAAAAAATAGAGCTAAAGCACAACTTTCTACTTGGCAAAAATAATGTTTTGTATTTAAAACTCATTTTGGAGGTCAGTTGCAGATATTTATCTTTTTGTGAATGTATTACTGGTGCTATTAAATGCAAAAAAACCCAATAATGGTATGCACCCAATCTGTGTGGAAATGTAATTGGGATTACTTTCTAATGGTGGCAGGATGGCAAACAATGTATGTACTTGAGTCCTTATAAAATATATTAGTTATGTAAATTAGTAAGTACATAAATACTAGTAATTTGTAAATAACTAGATTAAATAATAGATTAGTGGTGACATTAAAAAAAGTAGTCAACTGGGAACAAGTGTGGTGTATCAAACCTGTAATCCCAGCTAATTGGGAAGCTTGCAATTTGAGGTCAGCCTGGACCAAAATTTTATGAAATTTGTGGAGGGGAAGGGAAAAAACAAGTCATTTAAATAGGGATACAGGTGGAGCCATTGCAACAATGAGATGTACAAGTCGTTATGTGGAAAAACGAACTTTACAAATTTGGTGGGGGGGGAGGAGGATTGGGGGGATGGGCAGGGATGGGAAGGGGAAACAAAGGAGGAGGCTACAATGCTTGATAAGATATGTACTCATTATCTTGCCCATGTAATTGTAACCCCTCTGTACAGTATTTTCACAATAAAAATTAAAATTAAAAAAATTATGAAACCCTATTTCAACCAATTAAAAGCTGAGCAGGATGGCATATACTTATCATCCCAGCTATATAGGACATGTAAATAAGATCATCTCCAGGCAACTCAGGAAAAAGTGAGTCTGTTTGAAAACTAAGGAAAGCCAAAAGGGCTGAGAGCACAGATCAAGTTGTAGAGTTCTCTGCCTGGCAAGCACAAGGTGCTCCGTTCAAGCTCCAGTACCTTAAAAAAAGGCAATTGTCTTTCAGAAGACTATTAAAGACATTATAGACTTGACTGTATTTAGACAGATCTAATTTATAACAAAGTTTAATTGTGTGCTATTTTTTCTTTAAAATTCTAGTAACTCATATATATATGTATATGTCTTTTCTTTCTTATTATGATGTGCAACTGGGATTTTTAAATTTGAACTTTGCAACAGATACATAAAAATGCACAACATCAGTAATTATCAGGGCAAAGCAGATCAAACCACAAGTAGACACCACTTCTCAGTGAGAAGAGATGTCACAAAAGTAAAAGGCTAATACTGGACATAGAAATGGGAACTCTTAGAGCTGGAAAGGTGGCTCAGTGGTAGAGTGCTTGCCTTGCATGCATGAGGCCCTGGGTTCGATTCCTTAGCACCACATAAGCAAAAAGAAAAAAGCTGGAAGTGGCACTGTAGCTCAAGTGGTAGAGTGCTAGCCTTAAGCTGAAGAGCTAAGGGACAGCACCCAAGCCCAGAGTTCAGGCTCCATGACCGGACCCCCCCCAAAAAAGAGAAAGAAATGGGAACTCTTAAACATCTTTGGTGGGGTGTGAGTTACTACAGTCATTAAGGGCAAGTTAAAACTAGAACTGCCATATGACTCGCAATCAATCTGTGGGTATGCCAAAGGAAACTAAAAGTATCTGCCAAAGAGATATCTGCCCTTTGTGTTTATAGCCAGGATACAGAATCAACAGATGAATAGGTTCTTTTAATCTTAAAGAAATAAAGGGTAGCATGGTATAAAGACAGGAGTAAAGGTAGAAGTGAGAAAATAGTGAGCAGGAAAGGATAGGAAGGGAGAGACTGATCAATGGGTACAAAGTTAATGATTACACAAGAGGAATATGTTCTTCTGATGTTCTGTTGCACAAGGGAGCGACTTTGGTTAAAAAATAATGCACTGTATACCTCAAAATAGCCAGAAGAGAGGATTTTGAACATTTTCATTACAAAGATATGATACTTATTTGAGATGATGAATATACTAATAACACTGAATTGGTCATTACACCACAATACACACAACTGGACATAATACTCTATCCTTTATATGTATATGAATATTACATCAAAACAGTTCATATACAGAACTTACATCTAAATTATAAACATGTACAAAAACACAGACAGGGTTATATGCATATACAATTCAAAGAACTGGACTAAAGTATGGTATAGTCAGGAATGGTTTCCAATAGTGTCTAAGTTACAATAGGTCAAAATGAATACCAGAACATGCTTTGTCTAGGGGGTGGGGAATGAGGTAAGGAGACGAATGGAGAAAGGGAATTCAGTCATATTCGATGCACAAAGGTGAAAATGGAACCATGTAACTGGAGGAAAGGAATAGGGTTGGAAGAGATGGGAGAGAATGAGGAAAGGCGTGATATTAACCAAGATCCATTTTACATGTAAAGTGATTTGTAGAACTGAGACCCCTTTGTACAACTGCTTTACAAAGTAATAAAAAAAATAATGAACTTTTAAAGCTTGAAATTTAAACAACTCAGCTAAGCTCCCAACCGGACTTAACAAAATTCAACTGAGAACAAATACCCCAAATGAAATCTTCTCTGTACAAAGTGCTTAAGCCAAACAAAGCTAAGATTTCCATGGAAACAGTCTAGATCCCTTGAAAGAAAGGACAGGACAAAAGTAAGCATGAAAATGCATTTATTTATTTATTTTTGTTCTTCCTCACCTCTGGCCCTCCAAACCTCAGGCTGTCATCTTAATGAATGCTTTCAAGTCTCAGCAGGAATTAAGAAAAGTATTTGACAGGAGTGAGGGAAGGACTAAATATAGTGCCTGTGCGAGATAAATGTATTCCATAATCTTTTCTTTTAGTCTACTTCTTCTTCCCCCGACCGGGCAACCTCTTCATCCTTCAATGTTGCTTTTCATACTGTTATTACTGCCCAGCAAGTTTACCTGTTAGGAATTTGGGATAGAACAAATGTAAATTATTATGAAATGCAAAATGTATCTGGTTTAGAAAAATCATCTAATGACATAATTGAAGTCAGTTACCAAATTGTTATCCTGTGTGTTATCTCAGAATAATAATTACCCTTTATTCAATACTTTAGAATTTCTGACATGTTCTCCTATCAATTAATGTTGTTGTCTTGGTTCATTTTCTGTTGCTCAGAGCATAATTGCACAAAGTAAGTTAAAGTGTTTTGGTTTTGTCATGCTGGAACCTGGGGTCTTGGGCATACTGGGCAAGTGCTCTATTACTGAGCTATAATCTCACCCCCAGGTTAATAAGTTATAAAGATAAGAGGTTATCTGGGCTCATTGTTCTTGTCTGATGTTGAGGAGTTGCAGTTGGTGACAGTCTTCTTGTAGGCAGGGTGTCAGTTTGTGGGACTCTACAAGTCCCAATAGCCTATCAGATCAATAAAGATCAATCCATATCATAATCATTCTTCTATGGATTATTTTAAAACTCTTCTCCTTTTTAAGTTTGTGCCCTACTAAACAATAATCTTGCTCATTCTCTATAACTGCTGATACTGTTATAATAACACATTCAGAAATACACCTCCTCCCCCCAAAAATGTAAAACCTAGGTAGGTGAAATTTTGGCTTTCTTGAGACCATGATTATTTTTGACAAGCTTTTCCCAGAACTATCTCTCCTATTTTTTTTATCAAAAAATCAAATACTGCTTCATTTCAAGTTCAGCAATGGATGGATTATTGAAGACTAAAGTGACTTTCCATATAGTAGACAAATTAAAACATGTCTTTTGGAATAAAATAGTCATTGGTTCACTGACTGAAACAAGTAGCTTAGAAATTGTTTTCCTGCTCCTAGCTAATATCTTGGTGGTATAATACTATCTCTCCCTAGAGATAAGCTGGCATCTAATGTATCCTTGCAAAATTAAAAACAATTGAGGTTTGCAATCATGATGACTTTAAATGGGATGACAGTTATCAAGAAGTATGATATGGAATCTACTAACACACTTTTCTGTTGTTTACAATTGCTGAAAACTAATCTAACGCAAGAGAAGATCATGGGTCTAGAAAAGAAGAGGACCAAGAGGCCAATGAAGAATTTACTCTCTAGTTACCAGAACATGCACACACATGCACTTTAACAGTCAGTCAATATGACCGCTGTTCTCTAGAAATGCAAACATATAGCTTACTAGATATTATGTCACTGTGTAAAGAAATTATAAACTCAAAGACATTCCAATAGGTGACTTCCTCTTTTGTTAGCTGTCATTCTAGGACATTAAAATAATGGCTACTCCATACTTACTACCTTATTTAGCTCTGTGGCAGATAGTTGACATACCTTATTTTGCTTACTATTTAAATGACCATATGAGAGTGGTATCATGAGTGAGAAATCCATTTTAAAAAACCCAACCTCACAAGAAGGGTATTTACCCAAAGCAGCTTGCTCCGCGTCCACTGTTAGAACTTCGTAGAGTCAAGCCACATCACCAACCCTCAGTTTACCTGAGCCCAGCACCAGCTGCAGATCCAGCTTCTAACTGGCCTGTCTCCTTACAACTCACTTCTAAACAGCTAATCCATTTTCCTTTAGAATTCATTCTTCGGGGAGTACTTACATCACTTGGTAGGTAAAAGGGGTAGCTCTTTGGTAAAGTTTACTTTGAAAGTACAGCAACAGGGCATCTGGAGAATTTCATGCTCACTGAAAAAGTTGCACACACAGTCATTTATCTTGACGACGGAATTAGAAACAAGCAAGGCAACAGAAGTTTTTAAAAATTATATTTAATACAAGTGAATAGATTAGAAGATCTGAAATGTTATAAAGCCATATACACAATGAATAAATAATTTGCACAGGAGAGTCATGTCTACATTACATAACACTGTCTAGTATGGGAATACTTAAATCCAGTGATAATGGAGAAAAGTCCATAAAAATGCTAACCTGTCTTCCCTTGTATGAAATTGTTCAAGTATAAAAATCCAATACAGTGTAAAATAGTATTCAATTTAGTTTAAGAATAAAAATTGCAAGTATTGCAGTTTCAGAAGAAAAATGTAAAGCAGCATTTTGAGACTACATAAACTACATAAGAATAGTGTGGAAGCAATGATCTGCTGGTAGATGAGGTCTATAGGAAGAAAAAAAAAACCAGAGAAGGAAGCATGAAACTAGCCATGTAGCTTGCTTTTTAAAAAAAAATCTCGACTAAAATCAACTAAAATGTGTTAATGTAAGAGTACTCTTATACAGTGCACATATGAATTTAAATAAATCCAAGTCAACATCTTTAGTTGAATAGGTTAATATTTAATATGCTACATCTAGACCTACTAAATAATTTATGCCATGAGATGAATACATAATTTTACAGTGTCACATCTAAAGTTCCTTGCTTTAGAGTGCAGCATAGTAAAACTTAAAATAAATATCTTAAATAGCATTACTATTAAGGCACAGTATAAACCACATCATCATTAACCGTTGAAGAATTGTAATATCAATGACCTCGCTGACTCAGATTACTGTATTCACTAATAAATAGTTTTTAAATAGGACTCTGAAATAGATACTAAAAAGTGTAAAATTATTTAAAAAGAGAGGGGAGGGGAAAATAAATGTCCTTAAGACATATAGTGCCTGCAAACTTGCCTGCCTTTATTCCTAAACTCCAAGTCCAGACAATAAATAGAAAGAGAAGGCTGTTGGAGTAAATGCTTGATCCTGTTTAGGGATCAGAATTGCTGACACCAGCAGATACAAGTTTCCCAAAATTGAAACAGGATGGGGAGAGGGATTAGAATGTGACAAGCTCATCAAACAAGCACAAGTGATGTGTTCTTTCCAGAACTGGGTGTGTTACTGATTGTCTGCCCCGCTGCTGCACCATGAATTCCACACCACTTGTTCCCCAGTCCCATTCATCCAGGGGACAGATGAGAAAATAGCTTTGGTGCCTGTCCGCCATTGTACCCACCGCCAATGCTCCTAGCTTGATTGTTCGGTGCCCATAATTGAGATAGTATAAACACTACCTTCTTCCTTGAAAAAGTAGGCCGTAGTGACTGCTAAAAATAATGATCAGCACTTTAGCCTCTTGGTTTTTCTAAAATAACACAAATGAAAAAAAAAACAACTTTTAAACATAATTCAAGCTACATATTGCTCACTCTGTAGTCCCTGGTTCAACTAGATTCAAATAGCATTTTCTAACTTGGAAAAGGCAGTTTGCTTCCCTGATACTATAAAAAAGACCCAAATAAAAATCCGGTTACAAAAGTGAAGGGTCAACCATGCTCCATGCCACCTTCTCATCGGCTGGTTACCCAGGCTCTTGGGGATTGATTTCCAAAACTGCGCCTGCCCAAATCTCAGCTTCTCACCTGTGGCCTCATCTAGGTCACTACCAGGAGTATTAAAAAAGAAAAAAAATAAGAAGAAGAATTCTGTTTCAACAATAGCATTGCTTTTTTTTTTTTAAAGCTGTTAATAAGTCAATGTTAACTCTCTCATGAACTACTAAAACTTGGGAAATTGGAAGGGAAAAGAGGAAACGATTCAACTTGGATCAGATGGCTGGGTCTATTGCATCCGGTCTGTTTGCAGCTGCTGAGGTTGATACTGGCCAAATGCAGCTGCGGCAGCAGCAGCAGCAGCTGCGGCAGCTGCCGACCCCGGGGCAGCGGCGGTGATGGGCTGCTGGACAGCATAGCCATAGCCCCCAGCGGTGACATATCCAGCAGCAGCAGGGGAGGCTGCATAGGGGTACTGGTCATAGGCAGCGGCTGCAGCAGCAGCAGCAGCTGCCGCTGAGTACTGAGCATACGCGGCTCCCGTGTAATCGATGTAGGGTGTGGTGGAGGCCGCAGCTGCGGTTGGCTGAACGTGTGGAATCACCACTCCAGGCTGCACGAAAGCCTGTGGGTAGACATAGTGGGCAGGTATCCTGTAGAGAAAAGGGAAACCAAGTCAGGCCGCAGTCCCTTCCTTAGGGGGGAAGTAGAGTTTGTTGTTCAGAGATGAGACAAACTCAAAATTTAGTGGTTATTATGAGCATAGGGTTGCCACAATATCTACTTGCCAGTGGTTCATTCAAAGTCCTCTGGCAGTAGCCACAGTTTATGGAACACCCCCCAGAAGAATTCAGTAACCAAAATAACAAGAAGGCCTCCCTGTTAGAATTTTCACTGGGGAGTATTTAGAACCATGAAGTCTCATTCACAAAGAAGTTTGGGAAATAAATCAAAGTTCATAAGGGCTGGGCAAGTTAAGAAGTTTAACATGGTTTGATTAAGACTTTAGAAACTCTGGTTAAGAGTTCCTGGAAGACAAGGCAAATGGGGGGGGGGGAATCCATCTCCCTGAACAACAGGACTTGGAATTGAATCTTTGAGCATTCTGTTCTTTGGGAGTGATGGTCTGTTTGTGAAAACTGAAATCAATTTCCACCCAAGTCTGCAGGTTTATTATCATGGCAACCCTACTTAGAATTGCTAGGCAGACTCAGCACACATTAATCTCTCTGCAACCTCAGTCACCCTTATTAAAAAATAACAATTAAAAAAAAAGGAAGCAGGCGACAAAATAAAGAAAAAAGTTTAAGAGTTCACAAGTGTGGTAAACACAGCACAGTCAACACTCCTCAAACGAACTGTGGTGCAGCTGGCTCTCTGTCACAGAGGCTCTTGTGGGAAGCTAAAGGTCTGCTATTCACATTCATGGCAGTGAGTCCCAAAGAGATTGTGCACACACTTTCTTTTTTTCTTTTATCTTTCCAGAAAAATCCATAAGGACACAACGGTCAATCAAACCTGTTGGACACCTGAGGCAACTGAGGGTCAGCCAGCTTGTTTATCTCTACACAAGACAGACAGAAGGTGGATCGGAAGGTTGGTGGAAAAGGAAGGAACAGGGAAATACAACTAAATATTTCCAAACTTAACAGAAACTTAAAAGGTGTACATTATAGAGACACATTTATTCTGCTTATCAACTAACTCTTGTTTCTCCTCCAAATCAATAGAAACAGATTTAATGTACCATATTGGTTTTAAATCTACCCTATTGGTGAATATTTTGTACAGGTCAATTATACAATTATAGATTATCCTGAAAAAAGGGTTATAAAAAGTGAAACAAAATCAAAATATTTTAAAAAAATCATACATTCACAGATCACAGACAAGACAGACTCTAAGGATCTTACTTAAAAGTTAATTTTATTTTTTTAAAAAACACATGAGAGCTATGTAAAAACATCCCATACATGTCAATGCTCTTGTGATTTGTTAATGCACACTGGTAAAACACTGTCAAATATCTGATTTTTTTTAAATCTGGGCACCAGTGGCTCATGTCTGGAATCCTAGCTATAATCCTTGCTACTCAGGAAGACTGAGATCTGAGGATCACAGTTTGAAGCCAACCTGAGCAAAAACATCCATGAGACTCTTATCTCTAGTTAATCACCAAAAAGCCAGCAGTGGATATGTAGTTCAAGTGGTAGAGCATCAGCTTTGAGTTAAAAAAAAAAAAGCGAAGGGATAGCACCCAGGTTCTGAGTTCAAGCTCCAGAACCAGTACACACACACACAAACACACACACACACACACAACTGCCATCAGAACCCTCTGTCTCTCTAAAATGATGACCTTGAAATGCTCTTAGGTTGTCCACAAATCCAGATTCCAAAAAATACAAGCACATATAACAACTTTCATATTTAAAGAACCCCAAATAAGACAACACATTTAGATATTCACTCCCCCCAAAAAAAGCCCACACCCCCAAACCCACTAACCCACAGATTTTGCTTTGCCTGTTCAGAATTTAACTGAAAGCACACATTAATGAACATCATGGAAAAGATAAATTTATCAGAGAGGGTAGTGAACTTTGACCCCAGTGATAAAAATACATCCCAGTTATACTAGAATTATAGATCTTTCCCAGTGCCAGCAGAAACAACTTCACCAAGTGTTTCTGAGGACACTCGAGATGTTCTTAACGGCTTGTCAGAAACCAGGCGCCTGCTCATGCACATACTCAGAACATTGCTGTAGATCAGGTGACCAGCTCACCCTCAGTGACAGGTGTGGCTTTATGAAACACTGTCCCTGGAGCCTCCCTACCCACAATGTGCAGACACAGCTAAGACAGACTCCTCTCATGCCAGTTTACAGGAGGTGATGGACAGCAGAGGCTGTGGCTGGGCTATTTTTGATCCTGTCATGCGACAAGGGTTTCCAGCGGGTAAAATGTCTTTATAAGGCCAAAGTAAAACATCTATCAGCTGCAAAGGCCAGCCAGCATGAACCTCACTGATACTAAAACATTAACCCCTTATACTCCCAGAGTTCTGAAGACAACACTGTGATGGCTAGGCTTGCGTCTCTGAATACAAGAGTGAGCTGAACGTAAGTTTATTCTAAGAAAAAAGATCAAATGTGTGCCATGAGTGCGTGTGTGTCTGCATATGTGTGTGTGAACAGAATACAATAAATATTGCAAGAGTTGCCTAAATAATTCTTATCTCTGCATTTACTTTACAATAAGGAATAACTCTGGCATGATAAAGCCACCCCATACGAGCATACATTTTTTTTCTGGAAGTTCCGAATCCTACATGAAGTCGGACAAGGGTGAGTAAGACATCTGTCAAGCAAATGAAATCCTAGGGTGCTTTAAGGCTAGGGAGATTGGCAAGCCCAAAGAAGCAAGCCCAGTTCCAGAAGGAAGGCAGAATCTGATTAACCAGTAACATGGTATTTATGAAACAATTCCTGAGTTCCAGTTTGAATAATATCTACAAAACTCAGAAAGTGGATTTAGAGAACCTTCCCTTGCCTAGATTTCTACCAATGTCTGTTCCTTCCATGCACCACAGGAAGGAAGCACACACCTCACAGTTAGAAAAGCTCAATAGCCAAGCATATACTTTGGGTAAATTTTAAAGAAAATAGACTACATTTTCCCTTTTTTTCCTTCTTTTCTGGCATCTGTGATATCTCTCTGTGTAGACCAGCCTGGTCTTGAACACATAAACCTTTTGCTCCAGCCTCCCAAGTACTAGAGTTAAAATGTGTGTTACTAGGATCAGTTATTCTGTTAGCTTTTGTGTCAACACACTAATTGGCTTCCTCTTCCAACCTGCAGCACACACTGGATGACCCAAGTCTTTAAACTTTCTTTTTTTTGTCAGTTGTGGGGCTTGAACTCTGGGCCTGGGCGCTATCCCTCAGCTCTTCAGCTCAAGGCTAGCACTCTACCACTTGAGCCACCGCGCCACTTCCGGTTTTCTGGTAGTTTATTGGAGATAAGAGTCTCACAGACGTTCCTGCCCCAGCTGGCTTTGAACCGAGATCCTCAGATCTCAGCCTCCTGAGTAGCTAGGATTACAGGCGTGAGCTACCGGCGCCCAGCTGTTTCTCTTAAACTTTACCATTCTAGGCTTTTCATGCATCTGGCTCTAATAGACCTTTTCAGTATTTTCTTTCTGCCTTTCCTTACACCCAGGCTTCCCAGATCCTTAATGTTTCCTGGATCTTCCACATTTCCCCAGATCCTTACCTTTGCTCATGCCATCTATTCATCTCTCACATGGGAGGCCAGTCCTCACTCCATCTCCACCTGTTGAAATCCAAATCCCATCCACCCTAGCTCTGAGTTGCTATGCATTCAACAAATTTGTATATGAGAAGAGCCTACAATGATGACTATAGCAGCAGCTCAATAAAATAGTTCCTTCTCATTACCCTCCTTTAAAATCCAGGCCAGCTGGTTGGTGGCTCATGTCCCTAGTCCTAGCTACTTAGAAGGCTGAGATCTGAAGCTAGCAGTTCTACGCCAGCCTGGGCAAGAAAGTCCATGAGACTCTTATCTCCAATTAACCACCAAAACCCTGGAAATGGAGCTATGGTTCAAGTGGGAGAGCACTAGCTTTGAGCACAAAAGCTCAGGGACAGCACTGAGGCCCTGAGGTTCAAGCCTCAGGCCCAGAGCAACAGCAACAACAACAAAAAAATCTAAGCCAACTTCTCCTTTCATGAAGACTTCCTGGACCCCACTGACAGGAGTCTGCTTATCTGAGGCCATTTGGACAACCCCTTTCCCAGAATTTACCTTCTTAAAAAAATGAATACCAAAAACTAGATTATAAGGGAGGGTAGAGTTATGTCTTTTAGGAGTATGGCTTGGCAGTTAGGAAGAGCACAGCTTCTAAGTTCAGGTAGAGCATGACTCTGAAATCCAGAATCAGATTCTAACACTTACCAGTTCCTTGATGGGGGAGAAGAGGGGAGGAAATTAATGAACCTCCCTGCATCTTAGTTTTTCAGCTAACTCAAAGAACATTAGCAGTGCCTTTGTTAAATGCCTACTATGAGCCTCAAATTATATAATGCGTAAGTCTTATTAGTACCATGCGTATCTATAAATGTTAATAGTTCATTCTGCCCCCCTCTACCCTGTGGACAGAATAAATACTTAGCACAAGGTTACTCCAGCATGAAACCGAGAACTGAAATGTGTATAAGTAAATGATAGTTCATCTGATTTAAAGCAGCCTAGAAATTCCCACTCAGAGATCAGCTAACTCTCCTTTCCAAAGTTTCAATAAGAAATGCTCCTTTCAAATAAACTAATTAGAATAGTAGATTCCTCTACATCTATCTACTGTGTTAAATCACTAACTGTCCAGCCTGTATTTTGTCTTTAAAAACCTAGAGTAATTGGGGGCCATGTAAGGATCACATAAAAATAATGGTTTAGTCATTAGAATTTCCAACAAGTCAAGTAAAATAAAAATCCTAAAGCTTTTCCCCCACCTAAAATAAGAACGTGTGTCATTCAAATAGAATTAGGATGACCCAGGGTGATTTGTTGGTAGAGACTTAGAATTAGATCAGTGTTGAGAGCTGTTTTTAAAAGAGAGAGAGAAAGCTTACTTGGCGTAGCTGGAATGCTATTTCTAATAAGAATCTTAACCTTAAACAATTAATAATCACCAGTAATAATCACCATTCTTTGTAAAGACAATTAATATTCGAAGAGATTTAAAAAAACCAAAGGTTATTGCAAAACATGCTTGATTTACTCAATGTTATCTTGTTGGTTCTAACTTTTTTCATGTTGCTTTCTTTCTCAAGGACCAGTAAGAACAATCACAAACAGCCACATGTCTATACTTAGCTCTCAAGAGCACTCTGGCTTCTCCATGTACCAAGGCTTTTCTCCTCTGTGCCTTTGTTTAAATTCACCCTGCTCTGAACCCTTCAGTCATCCCCAATCTTCTCTGAACCTGACTGAGATGTACCCACTCTTCCACCCCCTGCCAAAAGTCTGGATTCTTCTAATCCATCCATTCCTCTGCTATTCTGAACTTCTTTTGTACCTAAGATAATAGCAAGTTATTTAGCAAGGAGTAATTCTTGGCTGGTTTGCATTCTTCTTGCTTTTCCTAAAATGAATGCATAATTCCCTTCATTTATACAGTGATAAAATAAACACACACACGTATACACACACACCTGTTGAGTGATTTGGTTTTTATAGCAATTTCAAGGGGACGCCTATGAGTTCTTCAAAAGTATGTTTTCTCTCTCAATTCCTTCTTCTTCAGATAAACTAGACCAGGGAAGTACCCAGAGACAGACTCACAGACCCATATCTTGTTAGACACAGGTTTGTTTGTTTGTTTGTAAGATCTTTGTTACATAGCTATGTATATGTGACAGAAGACCTTTCTGAATAAAAAAAAAAGACAGAGTTAGTAACAAGAGTTGAGCTATAAGATGGGTTAAAGAAACAAGAAATATTGAAGTTTTCATGGAAAATATAACGACTCAAGTCAAATTACTATGACTACTACTACTACTATGTGGCCTGCTCTGAAAGACAAAAAAGTAAACATCTCTCTATGTAGATTCCAGCCTTCCAAATTAAATATGTAGATATTTAGATCCTAAGCTATTGAGGAAATTAGTGCTGATGGTAAAAAGTCTCTGGCCAACTAAAACATTAAAAAAAAACTTAACTCTCTGGCAATAGAGTTACAAGAACATAAATCAGGAAGATGACAGCCAAAGCAGACTGTAGTAGCTAGGAGAAATGTAAGCAGTGACCTCCCACCCATATCAGGTCTAAAGGGAAGGGCAATTGGGAGCCTCAGAAAGGGCAAGCTGGTAATGACAGGATCCAGAGATGACACAAATCTGAGTAGACTTTTCCCCTGTTAGGTCTGGAAAGTAGAAATTAGTGCTATGCTACTCAAAACAAAACCACAAGAAAAAAAAATTAGGAAAAAGCAATCCGAACTGGCTAGCGTTAATGAAATCTGATGAGAACTGTTGAACCTTTAAATGAGAACACTTCAGGGTGGCTAGATATTGCAAAAGAAAGAAGCCCATTCCCAGAAACCTTCTCGTGAAACAGAAACTTAGGACATGCAAGCAACAAAATCTGTATTCTTACAGAGAGAAGTCACACAATTCAGCACTCACTACAAAGATATGGTTAAATGGAAGTCACAGGCTATAGCTTATAAGCAGGAAACAAAACAAAACAAAAAGGCCCTTTGCTTCCCATGGCAAAGTCAAAAGTCAACACTCCTCAACACCACCACCAAAACCAAACGCAAAGAGCCCCTTCCCCGAGGAAAAGAAAACACTTCCACTACAGCTCTTTTCAATTAAGTGAAAAAGCACACAGTTTAGCTATCAACACCACTTCATTACTGTAATAAATAAAATAAAGCACACGGAGGGCTATTGACTATTGTGAAAAAAAATAAAAACAACACCCACATCCATGCATCGTTAATCACCATCTGAGCTTGTGTGTCTGAGTCTACTGGTTACAGAGTTTAATTCCAAACAGAACTATTCCACCTCTTATCATCGTATCCTTCTCATCAGTTAGCTTAACTGTATACGAGCCCTGTCAGGTTAGAAAGAGATAAATAACATTGAGTCAAGTTGAACAGTAGTAACGGTGATGGGACACACGGTCTGATACACAAGTCATACCTGGTATTTTTTTTGTTTTGTTTTTGTTAATCATAAGCTCAACATTTGTCTGGTTTGGAGGCTGCATACTTGGTCAGATAACTTGACTCATCTAAAAATATTTATAGTATCAGCATTAAAAAATACACAAACATAAATAATTATGTATAACCAGGAGCATTCTATGATATGTTGATCTTGGCTCCTTATAACAAAGAGAAGGGTTAACAAACAGTAGCCATATTGAAACTTCACAGGGTCTGATGAGTCAACTTACCCGAAAGGTCTTTGTATAAGGGCTGGATGAAGTTGTTGAACACCAAAGGCAAAACCTACCAACAACAATAACAACAACAACAAAATATCACATTCTTCATTTCTGCATGGTGAGGCTTCTCCTATTCCTATGTATAAAGTGCCATCTCCATTTCCGTGGGAAAAACCCCCACATGTTTGTGATACTTTACAGTGTCTAAATGGATTTAAAACTCTTGTAAAGGTTTTCATTGGTTCTATTGTGCATGTTTAGATCTTTCCTATTCGTATGTATAAAATGCAATCTGACTTTTTTTTCTTTTTTAAAACCACCACGTTTTAATATTTTAGAGTTTAGCTGTGGATTTAAACTTATTTTTTAGATGTTATCACAAATTCTATATAAAGGTTTCAACAGTCTAAAAAGTGAAAAACTGAAAAAATTTGGCTAAGACACAAAATCACCCCTTAGAAAAACTCACCCAGAGAAAAAAATGTTTTTCAAATGAAATCAAACACAATAGGAACTGACAATGAAAGTTTCATGTCACATGCTTCCTTACAGTACTGATCCTGATCTTTTAGAAAAGTCTTTGTAATTTGGAACATTTTGAAATGCTCTGAAAGATTAGGGTTCCACAAGTTATAGTATTACAAACATGAAAAACAAGCTTCCATGTTTTGCACAGATACGAACTGCTGAACAGCCTGCTCATGCCTTGCTTTCTTTCTTTTTTTTTGGGTCCGGTCGTGGGTCTGAACTCTGGGCCTGGGTGCTGTCCCTCAGCTCTTCAGCTCAAGGCTAGCGCTCTACCACTTGAGCCACAGCACCACTTCCGGCTTTTTTCTTTTTGCTTATGTGGTGCTGGGGAATCGAACCCAGGGCCTCATGCATGCAAGGCAAGCGCTCTTCCACTGAGCCACCTTCCCAGCCCCTCATGCCTTGCTTTCTTGACAATCTAGTTTCCCATTAAATCCATTTGGATGGAAGTGCTAAAATTTCAGAACTGAACACCTCATGAGTGAACAGTGCCTGATTTAACGGGACATGTACAGTTGCTTGCTTTAGGAAATGGCTCCCTAGTCAACTCTCAATTATTTGTGCCCATGCAAAGGGCAATAGGGTAAATAAATCAACACGGACCAAATGGGGCTTGGCTTTGACAATGAATAGCTACCCAAAGTATTTCTCATCCTCCAGTAAGCATCATCATCATCATCATCATTGTCATTATTTTTTACACCTACAACTTGGGTAGTGAACTCCTTCTACTTTCCTTGCTGGTATCCTATGATTTCATGAGAAAGCTGTACCATCCAGAGATCCAGAGATTTCCCTCTGTCTGGTGTTTCTCTCAGGTCAGTGTTTCTGTCAGATTTTGGACATAGGGCAGCTGGTGACCAAAAGAGAGATCACACTAAGCAAGGATGCACATGAGCTGGAGCTGACCAGTTTGGCTCATATCATCTACATCATTCACATGGCTGGCTACAAAGTGGCAAGCTAACAATGGGGAAGTCCAGAGTAGATGCCACAAGCCTATCATCATATAGGCAACCCATGAGTCAAGCCTGATTCTTCTCTGTGCCAGACACATCCAGACTCCAAGATCTTTTTTTTTCTTTTTCTTTCTTTTTTCTTTTCTTTTTTCCACACAGATACATTTCAGGTCCTGAAAGGAGTATTTACAAGTCTCATTTCACTTTCATGCATTGGTACAATAACCAGTCATTGCTCAAGTTTTACCAAGCAAACCTACAGATTCACAGGGAGCCAATTTCTAGATAAGGGAATCATTCTATCCAGGATTAGAGGGTTTTGTTGATGGGTGTTGGGGGAGGGGAGAAAGACCTTTCTTACCTGGTTGCATGATCCTTGGTTTTGCTCCCAAGTATGCCAGATTCACATTGGCCTTTCTGCCGTCAATGATAGGGTTGGGATCCTTGCAAGCCCTTTCGGCAGCAGCTCGGTCAGCCATGGTGACCTTAGCAACGTACACACACAGACATACATACAAAAGCTCTACATTAACCCCTGAAGGAGACCAAGAGTCACACTGGAGGAAGTCATGATAAACTTACTCTTTCTTTTACTTAGGGGAGGGGATGGGTGGGAAGGAGTGGATGGGTCTTGTTTTTTGATCCTCCATTAAAAACAAGTAAGCTGAAGCAAGGAAGAAGGCATAAGGGAACTCTCCACCTCCATCCGAAGTCCTAAGGGGAGCTAGTTGGGCCTAGTAGAGTTTCAGAAGCCTGGATTCTTCAAACTCCTGTACATGGCTCCCTCCAGACCCCCCAATGGCTCCCCTAGGTCCCTACCGGACGTGAGAGGCACTGTTTGCTTGAGAGAAAGTCCAGTCTGGCATCTGCCCTATACTCTTCCCAACCAGCCCCAAAACACTCTCCAACGATGACAATAGCTATTGTACTCTGGGAGCTCTCCAATTCCCCCCCCCCCATGGCTGAATTTGCACCCCGAAATCCGCGGGGAAGCTTCGTGTGCCCTTTCCCTTCTCCAAAGAGCCAGATCATTCTCACTTGAAAGAGCTTGCCTGGTACGATTTTAAAAGGTGAGGGTGTCACACGGAAAACCCCAGACCTCACGGGGTGACTGTCCGCTCCCTCACCCTACCCGGAACACCAGAAGACACACGCATTTTTTTTTTTTAACAAAGCAACAGCGTGCTGGACAACCTGTCTCCAACCCCAGAATGCCATCATGCTGGGCCACGGCCCCTCCCTCCCAGCCCTCTGCACCCCCTCCCCCAAATCCAGTTGTTATTGCGAGTCTCTCTACCCCTGCCCGGACAGGCCTGCCACCCAGCACGGCGTGTGTGCGGGGTCCCTTTAGGACCCCCCCCCCGGAGATGGGTAGATACCGGCCCTCCTTCCCCAGCTCCACCGAGCGCAAAGTTTCAGTTCAGCTCAGAGCAAAAGGGGGAGACGCTGATCCCGCTGCCGGGGCGCGTCACAAGGTTCCAGCCAAACCCCGGACCCCGCGTTTAGTCCTCAGTGAGGGGATCTGGAGAGGGGGTGGGGGCAGGCGTCCCCTATCCCTCCCTCCCTCCTTCCCAGCCCTCGTGGTCCTCAGTTTCCCCGCCAGCTCCCTGTGGCTCCCCTCCCAGCCCCCCCCTCCCCACCATCCATGCAACTTACAAATCCATAGCCCCGCGACTTGCCGGTCTGCCGGTCGGTGATGACCACCGCTTCCTCGATCTCGCCGAAGACCTCGAAGTACTTGCGCAGGCTGGCGTCGGTGGTGTGGTAGGGCAGCCCCCCGACAAAGATCTTGGTGTACGTCGTGTCCTTCTGGGTCGTGTGCATCTTCGCGCCCGCCCCGCGGCTCGGGCTCCGGCTGCGGCTGCGGCTCGGGCA